AAAAGAGACCCGTTGGGCTCTTCAACTGATATTCTCTTAGTTATGAGTTTTATCAGGTTATTGATAATAATGTTATCTCTTTGAGAGCATAAGCTCTGTTTGATTTGTATTGAGACTGGCTTAATAATGTTGCTGCCTTCTGGTTGTGTAGCTGTCATTAAGCTAGATGCCAACTGCTCTGTTACGACCATCAATTTCAAAGCTCGTTGTGTAATTAAGGTAAAAGTTTGTAGCGTTCATAAGAGTGGTTATAAGCAGTTGTACTGCAAAATGTCATCTGCAAGATTAATTCTCTTTAGACTCTTAAAATAACTCTTTGCTTAACTCCTAACCTTTGATCACGTAGAATATTTTACAGATCAGTCTACTGGATAGAGTTTGGTTAAGACTGTTGCAGGAGATGGTAGCAATTACTTTGTGTTCTGACAAACCTCTCTTATCCTGTACGTTCTTTTTATGAGTTGTAATAATTCAGAAAGTGCTTGCAGAATTACCTTCTTGCCAAATCCAGTTCTCTCATGCACAATATTGATTCTCTGCTAGAAGACAGACTTACTTTGTTTGAGACTGCATTATCAGGAAAGTGGCTTGTTTTTCTGTTGACTGTTCTCTCTTTCACAAGTCAAGAAAACACAGAGATTACCTCAGGAAATGGTACAGCACCCAGAATGAATGGGATTTCTGCTCCTGAGGCAAGGAGTACCTCGGCCCATCCTCTTTGGTCTGAAGCACTAAATTCGAAGTCATTACTGTTCCATCAACTGGAGCAGTCAGCTTTTTAGAGAGATCTACTGCTTTGTCTGCAGAGGGCACTCCTTTCTCCAATTTTAGATGTACTGTGTCTTTTTCTGTGAGATCTCAAGCTATTTAAAATGTTCGTAATTGGCTGTACCACCAGTCCTTTTTACTGCTAAATTTATGCAAGGGATTCTTTCTTTTTTGGTAGATTTCTTGGATTTGTTTTTACATGCAACCAAAGGTCCAGTCCAAAAGGTAACTGCAGTCAGTAACCTAAGACGGCTGTTTACCACATACACTGTACAAAGAGAGCACCTACCTGGAACAGTTAGTAGACAGATAAATAACAGGTCATGTTAAAGGGTGCTGCTGCTTTTACTGTGCAGGTTTTAAACTGCATTACTCCTTGATCATGTCTGTTATTATCTTCTGTTTGGAGGCATTCTGGAACTTCATAGTGATGACGTTCTACTTCCCTTTAGGTTTAATGATTGTTTATAAGTTACTAAGAGTAGTCTTCCAAACTGACGATGTTTGGGAGACTGAGAATTTAAGTAGTAGTTATGTCTTTCTGTATAATTTTTTTTTTCTGCCTTACATTGCCTTTTCCCATGGTTTTTGAAGTCGTCAGAAGGGGAAGGGAAGACATGTCAGAACTAGCAGTATTAATAATGTGTTTGTTTTGAAAAGGAAGAAGAGTTGGTGCCAGCAAAACTGTTTGCAAACTTGTGGTTTTAATTTTTACATGCTGTTATGCACACTGTATGTTGGCCGCAAAGTACAGAATTATTTGGATTGCAGTGATTGCTGTAAGAGTAACAGTAATTAACAGATGATTAGTAAAATTCCTTTGAGAAACTGAGCTGTCAGTCACTTGCAAAGCTTAAGTTAATAAAATTCTTTCTGCTCATATACCTAATGAACAAACAAAAAAACCACACACACAAAAGCACTATGAAACCAGAGCATTATGAGCCTTTGGTGAAAATGTAGGTGGATGTGAGAAAAATATTGGCACATGAGGTAAGTGAGAAAATAGTAGGATACCAATTGAAAACACCCCTTTTAAAAAAAAACAAACAAACCACAAACACAACCAAACCAAAATCCATTTTTTCTTTTTTTTTTCCCCTATTGTTGAGCAGTTACCCTCTTTCCTATTTAGTATGATATCTTTTGTAGGTTGACTTTGACTGTTGCTTAGAACCGTGAGGTGTGTGTTACTGTTCTTGCAGTTGCATTTGCGTTTCCTTGCCAGTTGGTGCTGCAGAGAGAGCCGTACCTTGCACAGTTTCTGTATAGAGCCGGGTTGGTTCAGTTGCATGAATTAACTCTGGCACAGCACCACAGGAAATGTTAATGTAATTAAAAACTTCAAAGAAGCATAGTGTGTACTCTTCCCTTCACGCAGATGTTTTAGTTACGAGATAGCTATTTGTATTCATAGAATTAAATTAATAATATAAGGAGGCTGGAGGCCATCTAATCTGCCATACAATCAAACCAGGGCCAGCTTCGGAGTACAGAGCCTTCAGTAGTTGAATTTTTCTGTGTATCTCCAGGGAACCTCCTAGGCAACCTGTTGCTGTGCTTTACCTTTCTCGTTGTGCATTTTTTATCCTTGTGTCTGGTTGGAATTTGCTGTGCAGCAACTGGTGACTGTTCCCTCTTTTCCTTTTGTTGTGTCCTCTGTCGTCTCTAGAACTTTCCATTTGAAGGCAGTGATTAGATTCCCACAAATAACACCCCTCGCCCCACCTTAACCTTCTCTTCCACAGGCTGCAGGCACCAAGCTCCCTCGGCTTCTCCTTGTACATCGCACACTCCAGTTCCCCAGCCATACTGGTGTCTTTCTGCTGGACTCTCTCCTGTTTGTTAATGCCTCTCTTGCACTGTGGGCCCCAAAACTGAACAGGGTAATTCTGGTACAGCTTAGAGTGCTGCAGTAAATGGGAATAATAATTACTTCTTGCTGTACTCTTCCAAATACAACCCGGGATGTGGTTACATTTTCCTTAGTATAGGGTTGTACTTGTGGGTCTCATTCAGCTGCTTGTCCACCCACACCCCCAGGTCCTCATCTGCATATCTGCTTCCTAACTGTTTGAGCCCTGACATCTGCTCTTGCATTGAGTTACGCTGTCACAGGTGCAAGATTCTTGCATTTGTCTTTGCATACAAGTTTTTAAGAAACAGCATGATAGCATAAAGAATTACTTTATTTTTAAACGTACCAAAGAATGGAGTCTCTGAGTGCATCTGAAGAGTAGACAGTGATCAAGATGATTAGAGTGAGTCTTATGGCAACACTGTTCTTTATGAAGTGTCCTACTGAAGCAATACTAGAAGTTGTCATTTTAGGAAAAAAACAATAACGTGAATAGTTAGAAATCATCATGGCCAGAGAATTATCTGCCTGTGAATTCTTAAAGGACCTAGCAATGGTATTTCTGTCCTGCTAACTCAGAATATGTATAATTCCTATAGTACCAGAAGGATAGAAAGCCATGTATCCTGCACCAGTTTCTGAAGGGCTCAGATAACTGCAGGTGAGTAAGTCAGACTTCTGTTAGGCAAATTGGTTGAGCACCTAACAAAAGGAGTAGACGTATGGACAAATGTGATAATGGGCAGGAGTTAATAGGGCTTTTCTAGAGGGAGGGGAAAAGGGAAGTTATGAAGTTACGTCTTTTCAAAGTCATGCTTTGAAAGAGTCAACAACCATGTGGATAAGGCTTATCTAATCAGTGCGATGTCCTTGGATTTCTTAAAAATAAAAACAAAAAACCCTGGATTATCAAGGTACTTAATCAGCCTGTTAAAGAAACTAAGGTGTCATAGAATGGGACGGTCCTCCCATGGGTTAATAATTGGTGAAAACCAAACTAGATACAATGAGTACCTCAAGTGAGCTATTGACACTCAAGAAAGATCTTGAAGTCGTGGTAGGTTATAGTATGAAAATGTGGTGTTGGTGTTTGGTGGGGAACAAGCACATTGAATGTTGAGGATTATTTGGAAAGGAACAGGGAATAAAATAGAAAATGTGCTATGGAGTTATACAATAACATAGCATTCCTTTGTCATGAATAATGTGTCCATCCCTGTCCTCTGCAAAAATAAATCTCAAAGGGTAGGAGAACTAGAAAGTGTATGGGCAATAAGAACCATCAAAGGTGTCTTGACATTGGAAAGCAGTTACAACTCTTATTTTATACTGGAAATATAATCTTCAGATTGCTTTGTTGTTTTTAAAGCAATGAGGAGGAGGTTAAAAAAAGACCTGTTGACCTCCAGGAAGCTGAGAAGATGCACAAGCACTAATAGCCAGGGTAGTTTATATTGTTTTATTGCGTTCTGCAGGGAGGAGCAACACACACGAAACAGGCTGTGAGAGTGATGAGTGTGCTTGAAGGGACAGGAAGGCAAACAGACTTATGTTACAAACTAGATAGCTGCTGACTTTCTGAAAGAGCACTGGAAGGTTGGTTAATGACGGAAGAATGACAGGCTGCTGCGTCCTATTCGGATTGAGGGGACTTGAGACTAGGTTGTTGCATGAAACTATATGGTGTAGTAATAGTGGCTAAAATACAAGCCTTCCGGAAAGCAAGGGCTTAAACAAGATTTCAGTTGTCCTGAACTTTCTGTAGGCTACCTGAATGCATTGAGGACTTGTTAGGGCCCTTCCTGATACAACTGTTGTAAAAATGCTTACTTATTGCTTTGGTATTGGATAATGGGGAAAAGGAGGAATGGGAGTTGTGCCAAGTGCTTCTGGCCCCATTGGTCCCTTTAAAAGCGATCCGAGGGAAAGAACTGCTAAACTTCTCACCTGACAACCAAATGACAGATGTTTCAGCAAAATAAATGTCTCCAGTATTTTAAGACTTGTTTGTCCCATTATTTTTCTGTAATCAGTCTTTGTTGCTGCTTTTTTGTTCGTTTTGTTGGTTTTTTAAAACTATGGCATGGAGCATCACATTGCTAGAGGATTTTTGTAGCTGAATTTTTGTTTTACATGGCTTAAGACTTGCTTACCTGTCAATACCAATTGAGGACGGGTTATGAACAGGAAGAGAACAGCTTTCCCTGCAGGGCTGGTCTACTGTATTGCAGGTATTTTGCTCAAAGATAGGATTCTTGAAGACTTTTGTTCTTTAATTCCCTTCCTTCAGCTGGGAGGGAACACTTGGAGAAAAGTTGGGAATATTCTCTTGGAAAGACCTGTGCTAGCCAAATTTTATCTGCTGTAGACCAGCATGCCTCAGAAGGGTATGTCACATGCTGCAGCGTTAGACATGTTTTTCAGATGGAGTGGGAAAATATTTCAGTAGCCACAAAGAATAGGGCTAGAAGAGGAGTGGAATATGCTTTCTGTCAGATGCCCGTTGCCTCTGTTACTCTGCTTTGAGAAAAATTCGAATACAAGGAATTAAATATGTTCACACTAGATCACTGACCTGTAAGGTTACGTAGGAGAAAGTTTGAGAGAATGTATCGTGAACCTTAATTTCTTTTTTGCTTCAAATGTGTAAATGCTACGTTTATATTGAGACTCTGTGCAGTTCAGAGCTAGTTTCTATTAATATGCGCCGGTAGTACAGATGAAACTGGAATTGCTAAAATAACACAATGTGGCTGACCTGAAGCTGTCTACTTGTATTTGTTTTAGGGGTTGTTTCTCTATTGGCTGTTCATCCTTCTACAGTAAATACGCTTGGAAAACAGCTCCTGCCAAAAACATTCGGACAGTCTAATGTCAACATTGCACAACAAGTGGTAAGGAGACTTTGCGTTTTTTTGATTGCTTGTACTATTGCTTACACATACTGTAAATCTGACTTCTAGCTTGGTAGTCCGTATCACTTGTCATGGGCAGATAGTCTAAGCTTGTTTCTAATTTTAATAGACTTATGTTAAAACAAATGTTCTTTTACATAAAGAAATGCAAAGATGACTTTAAATTCAACATGCAGATACCTGAATATTATTCAGATGGCTTTATCTTTTGCTAGTCTTGCAACCTAAAATCAGTGACTCTTTCAGATTCTGCTTTGAAATCTGTCATAGGGAAATATAAATGAAGTCCATCAGCCCATTTTTATTGAGATTGAAATTAGATGGAACGAAATTGAAAACAGAGCTACATTTCTTAGTGTTTAATTTAGATATCATTTGGCTTAAATACTTATTGTGAGCTTTGTGTGAGGCACATGAAATTAGAGGTTTCAAAGAATCTAATAATGCAACAGATAATACATAGGTTATGAGAAGTCTCTTTCCTAGCAATCGAAACTGAAATTTGGTGATCTGGAAAGAGTTGGTCTCAATTAATTTTCTGGAAAGCAGCTGTAACATGTAGACATCTGAAATGGATTGGCTTATATTTGGGCTTCTTCTTGGTAGGAAAGCAGTTTCCCATCTGCCTTTCCCCACTCGCAGCTCTGAGGAATGTTTTGTAGTTGAGGCTGTGTGAATCCATAAACTACGGCTTCAGCTGTACAGCTGCGGTGCAGATCGCTCCCGGGGCTGTATTGCCGCAGTGGCGGGGAGCTAACTTCCTTCCAGCAGCCACCTGGAAGTTGCAGAGTGTAGTGAAATGGGTTTAACTGAGAGGAATTGCTCCTTCAGTAGGAGGTGTCTTATCAGTAAATTTCCAAACAAGGAAATGCAGAGTAGTTAGGCATCCTTTTAATTTAACATCAGTAACCAGCAGCAGGAGGAGAATGTTTTAACTAGAGATCCTAGGCCATAATGGCACGGAGGGGGTTCCTTCTGGGCATTGTTGTGGGACTGTGTACATACTTGAGTTTAAGGCCGAAAATGAAATGTTCTTTCAGGTGACTTAGAAAATCATTTCTTAAAAGTACCAAATCCAGGGGATGATAACGAAATTACAAATCATCTGATGCTTTTTTTAAACTTTCAACAATGAGTAAATTAATGTTTCCAGCAATGTTTATATACATACAGAATAAAATCTTCTGTCTTCCATCACAAGTTTAAATTGACAAATCCTCATCTATATTTGCTATGCTTAACTTTACATGGTAACATTATTAAAAAAATATTATTCCGAAATAATAACTACTCTTAATGGTGGTTTTGTTGGTATGATTACTGTGGGAAATTACATTTGCAATTGTAATTTTTTCAGCACTTTAAGTCTTACTCTGAACATGTTAGCGTTAATTTTTTTGTGAAAGAAGGGGCTCATATCCATATTTGTATTGGCTGTTACCAGTACAAAATTAGATGCTTAGTTGTATGTTGTTACAGAAGAGATGGAGGTCTTGTTTTGTGTATATATACAGAGAAATTTTTAGTAGATTTCTGTTAGCTTTACAGTTCTGAAGGGGATCGCAAGAACTGTAAAAAAACATTACCTCTAGAACCCTGAAAATTAAGAGGAGATAAATTTTTCGTCAGTGTGCAAAATGTTCTTGGGAAGCAGAGTTGAGGAGTTGGCTTGTGACTCTGCTCAACTTTCTAACCTTTGAGTGGTAAAACCAGGTTTTTAATACCTAAGTACTTAAGTTTCTGAGCTTGTGTTCTTTGTTCAGGTAGTCCGATTCCTTTTTAGTGCTGCCCCATATAAGTTTTTCTGTTGAGTACAGTGAAGTGGAGTGTGTGGGCTGTCTTGCTGTTTCCCCTGTTGTCCTGAGCTTACTCATTATCAAAGAGCTAAACTGTAATCTTGTTCTCCTTTGAAATTAGGAAACGTTAGAGAAACAGCAGGCACTTCTTTTTCTACTTTTGCTTCTTCCCCCAGTCCCTCTGTTATCTCTAAAACCGCCCTCTCTGGCTAATTCCTTAGAAGATTCTGAAACTCCAGACTTCAGAGTCTTCCTTAATAGTGATACATATAATTCTGGCTAGTTTGCAGATTCTGTGAGTTAGAATGGGAATGCAGAGCAGATTTTGAATGTATTAAACTTCACTTTTCCACTCTAGAAATGAGCCTGCAAATTTGTACATGCATCTTTTTATTCCTTTGTGCTACTGAGTATTTCAAGACACTGCTGAGCGCAGTAGATGTCCAGGGATGCTGCTGCCAAGTGGTTTGTTTTTCGCCCAGCTGTAATTCCACCCCCTCCCCTGTACTGGCTTGGCTCTCATCTTACTGCAGAGTCATACAAATTCTAGATGTGGTACCAGGGTGATGGTGGGGCCGCTTGTGGAATTAGGGAGCTAGGGAATAGAGTGGGACCCTCTCATTTTAGCCTCTCATTTAGATGATGTTGAATCATCTCTTCCAGTCCTCTGTAACTGTGTCCTAGGGAATAAAAACTGGCTAACAGCTTTCCTCCATTCTCTCTATTGTCTACATTACTTGAATAGCGCACGGGTGGTTTTCAGTCTTTTGAGACACTTGGTGAACCAGACCAGTCAACAGGAGAACTGATAGTATTTTTTTTCATGGGGGAAAAGTGAGCTGGTTCACATGTGTCCTGTGCCTGTTCATCATTCCCCGCTCTCGTTCTGTTCCCCACAATCAGAAGTTTTGGTTATGAAAAGTAGTAGAGGAGATGAATTGACTTTCCGAAAGAATTGGAAACATTTTAAGTATGGAACAAAGCTCCTGGAATGGGGAGGAGGACCTCAGATTTTCCAACTGTCAGAAGTGGGTGTAACATACTTGTATGTTAACTACTCAGAGAGGTGGCATAATATAGAGATAGTATTTGGGAAAAAAATGCAGCCGTTTGTCCTTCCAGGCAGCTGTGAAATAATGATCATCTAATAGTTACTTTTGCATTCTACATTTAAAGATTATTCAAATTTTGGTTCATTTTAACTTTCGCACATAAAATGTTTCATTTTGGGTTTTCAGTTTTTCTATTCTGTTCTTGTTGAGGCTAAATTACTGAAGCTAGCCTGAGGAAGAAACTTAAAAATGTTGTTGATGAGGCAGAATGTGGCTACAGGAAAATATAGCAAGCTTGTGGGCAGTTAGGAGTTTAGGTTCGTTTGATGTTTGTTTCACTTACCTGATGTCCATGTCAGGGTCACAACCTACTGTTTCCACTGCGAGGTAAATATACCCCAAAAAGTAGGCATAGCTTTCTACAAAACAGGAATCTGTATGGTATCATTTTGTTTTCCTAAATATGTATTCTCTAGAAAGTTAAACTTATAACATTTCAGAGATAAAAAACATTATCTGCAAAAGTGGGAGTTCTGCTTCAGCTGGTTTCACCGATAAGGAGAGGGTGGCTGCGTGTGTGAATGTGTGTATGACCTGTGATCAAATTAGCACATCTTCAGGACTACTTAGCTGTAAGCTGGAAGACTGTGATCAGATGAGGGCGTGCTCCTAACAAGGTCAGAAGGGAATGGTTTTGCCTAAATTGGTCTCACTCACTGCAGTGATAAAGAAAGTTGGCCCTCTAACATGTATTTTGGTTTTAACCATGCAGTGAGAGAGACTGGCTGCAGGAGAGAATTTGGCCTTTCTTGCAACAGCTCTGCATTTTATCTCTGGTTTTACTGATTTTCAGATCTCCTTGTTTCATATGTTCATATTTTAACTGTAACTTACTACAGCTTCTTTATACATAGTCTGGTAGGGAGGGTTTTTTCCTCTTTTTTTCCCTTTTTCTTTGTGGGGAGGTGTATGTGTTTTGATCTTGTCTAAGTTAGCGTTGAACAATGTTAAGAAATCCAGCAAGCATGAAAAGCTGACTTAAGAAGGATAGAACATAAATGCTCATTACTTAGGGAGTGCTCTAACTATATCATCTGTAGTCTGAAGGTTTTTGTGCTAGTGTTTATAAATTCAGTGCATCTAATACAAGTAGGCAGAAAAAAGTATTAGTGTTGTTTGGATAATGCATCATTTGAATCTTGCAGCATATGAATATCTTGGAATACTTATGATTATTTTCCAAATTATTTTATCTTTGCTGTAGGTTATTGGTACACCTCAGAGACCTTCAGCGCCAAATACTATCCTGGTAGGAAGTCCACATACACCTAACACGCATTTTGTATCACAGAACCAGACTGCAGATTCTTCTCCGTGGTCTGCTGGGTGAGCAAAATAAAAGTTAGAAAGGATTAATAAATTGTTTGGAACTTTTGTTCTAAATGTTCACCATGATAGTGTATGTACTCTTCAGACTAGCAGTGTAAGAGGAATAGTCTGTTTACCTTTCCACCAAGAGCACTTCAACATTAAAGTATGTTGTATTAAAACAGGGAATAGTCACACAAGAATGAATACTCCCTCATTTGTTGTAAAAGGAACTAGAGTATTTTCTGTAAACTCTTGACAGATATTCTCACATTACTTAGAGAATTTAGCTCCTAAAAGGACACACTAATTTGTCTGACTTGATTCAGTTTCTAATTTGGCATTTCTGTTTGGCCGGTGTATTTCCAAAAGAATACAGTACCTTTCAGATTGAGCAAGTGTATCCCAAAGTATCATTTGAAATAAGAATGTAGTCCTTACTGGGAGAAAGTATTAGATACAATCAATGCATTCTTTTGGTGTCTTTTCTTATGCAAGCTTGTTTTTAAGGGTCTCTTGTGTCATGTAGTTGCTTTAAGACTAAATTTATCATCAGTGTCTTGTTACACATAAATAGATTTCTACTTTGGAATTATACAGTGAAATGAGATGTAGAGAATTAAGAGGTTCCATTGCTGATACTAATTTTGTTGATACTTATATTTTTCCTCAAGTTACAAGGAACTTTTTATTTAAAAGATACGCAGAAGACACTGTGATACCTCTTGTATCTTGTAACTTTGAAGTTTTTGTAGCAACTTCATATACTGTATAACTTCAAATCAAATAACAAAATAAATGTTTTAGTAATAGTGTAATGTTTATTGAGTTCAGCTAATATCAGATTTCATCTGTTCAGTCAGTATCGGACTTACATAGGAAATGCTCAGTCAATCTAATTTTTTTGGGGTCAAACTAGATGGGCTATTTAAATTAAAAAAAAAAAAAGTCAAAGTTATCTCCTGTAATTCACTTTTCATATTTTAGCATTTATCCCCAATCCCTTCTTGTCTTGAAGACTGTAAGGTTTTCTTTATTGACTTCTTCAAGGAATATCCCTGTTGTTAACTTATCTGCTCCTGGAGCTAGCAGAGTTGCCAAAAGAATGAATTTCTACTGTGTTTCAACATCAAAATACTAGAGTTGTTAATTATTGTAAATTGTAGGAGGGGAAAAATGTAGGAAAAAATGTTGGGGTGAGGCACAGAACAAAAAGGAAGGCTTTTTTTTTTTTTTTACAGCACTGTGCCTGTATTTGAAAGAGACATGAAATATTCCAAAGTTCAAATCTTCTTAAAATATGTGTTATACGTCTATTTAGGAAGCGGAACAAAAAAGGAGAGAAGAATGGCAAGGGTTTACGTCATTTCTCTATGAAGGTCTGTGAGAAGGTACAAAGAAAAGGAACCACCTCATACAATGAGGTGGCAGACGAGTTGGTTGCAGAATTCAGTACCACTGATAATCACATTTCACCAAATGAATCAGTAAGTATATGGGAGGTCAATTACATGTGAACTGAATGGGGGAAGAGAAATTTTTTTTGAGACTTTTGTATTTCTTTTCCTACTGCTAAGTGAAACCGTTCAGACCTTACCCAAGTTTACCCGTTTGCTGTAATATATTTATTTTCAAATATTTTTGTCACAGGTATGTTTTTGATTAATGCACTATGTCTACAGCAGGCTTATGACCAGAAGAATATTAGACGACGTGTCTATGATGCCTTAAATGTCCTTATGGCCATGAACATTATCTCTAAGGAGAAGAAGGAAATCAAATGGATTGGTCTACCTACTAACTCGGCTCAGGAATGTCAGAATTTAGAGGTATATGTGTTAGGAAGTTCACAGTGGCTTTGTGTTTGAGTAAATGTTTACAGGTTTAATGTATTCTGATACAACATGTGCACGTGATCTTCTAAGATAGCAACGTAGAATAGTATGGTCCCTTTTGACTCTATTTTATTTGTATTTACAAAACACACATTTAAACATTCAGATTCTTAAATGTATATTTTTTTAATTCTTCTGTGTCAAAAATACAGCTCTGTCACAGCTTTTGCAGTATATGTGAAATTTTCTGAGTGGAAGTTAAACTGAAAGATTAATGTGTATTTCAGCATTGCAATAGTGGTGCTCAAGAGTATGCCAGACAAATAATACACCTGTGATGATGGATGTTGCAGGTAGATCAGTATATATGTGCTTTGCTCCTTTTTTGTTGCTGCAGGCCTTATACATTCTGACATTTGTCTTCCATGAACATGTCAGACTTCTACTACATGTCTTGGGTGAGAAGTAAAATGTTTTATACTGAAAGGCATTCATAAGTTCTGGCAGAATTTTTTTTTTTAGTATCCTGAGATTTGCAGAATAATAAAGTTACCAAGGTTTACTGAAGTCAATTCACTTTATCAGAATAGAACGAGACTTTGTATTTATTGTTAGTAAGTCTAAATTTTTTTTTTAGCAGGACTGAAAAATCAGTGTAGAAGTTGTCAAATTAGGAAAAAAAAACATTTTGGAATCTAACTTCTGCAAGCTCTGTTGACATTTAAATTATTCATGACATTACCTGTTAGGTTTCGCAATAAGATTCTTTTTAATGAGTTTGTGGAGGCTAATGTTTAATCTGTGAAAAATGAAGCCTAATAAACTTTCTTTACTATTCCATCTGATACTGCTTAGCTTCACCCTTAAAGTGTTGAAAAATCAAGCCGAATACTTTAAAAGGGAACATAGAAGTTTGAGGGGTTCCTCATTGAGTAATTGGTATTTTAAGTCTTTTTAAACTTGTACTTTGTGTGTAAATTAGAAGATTTGGTAGTATATGTCCTGATAATGCAAAAAGAGAATGTGGAGCAGTTAGTAGGGCTTGTATCTTGAATTAATATGGGAAGCAACGTAGTTCACATGTATGTGATAGGAAAATATCTCGAGTCCCTTGTAAGTTTTTTGGGGGCCCCCGGTTATTTGACTTGTTTTCTAATGCTAAATTGTAAGACTTGGTCCTACCTTTTTTTTTTCCTTTCTTTTTTTTCAAATATAACATCATGCCTTTTTACATTTTTTTTTTTTTTCAGCCATGTACACTTCTCTGTGTGTTTTCACTGAAAACAGAAAATTACATTCATGTGAATTATTAACTCCAGTCATTTTCTTATTAGTTGCATATTTTAAGGACCTAAGAACAAAAGTTGATGTTCAGGCCAGCTGTCTGTCTATCCAGTATCTTGCCTGACAGTAGCAGTTTCCTAGGAAGGAGTATAAGATTAGAGAAAGTATTTAGTGGTGTTTTCTCCTGTAACTTGTGGTTCAGGCATAACCTGAGGCAGATACAGTATCCTTCTATTTAATAGCCCTCAGTTAATTTTTCTACCCCAAATTTTTACTTTGTACAAAGTGTGCTTTTAATATTGAGTCATTTGTTGGCAGTGAGTTTCAGGTGCGTTAGAAGCTTCTTAATGAAAATACCTTTTGGTTTTGAACATTCTATAATTAGTTGATATAATCTGATTTTTATTTTTATTGGAAGTGATGGTAACCTGATCATTCCTTATTCACTTTCTCCACCCTACTCATGGTTTTACTGGTATCTCCCATGTTCTCCCCCATTACTTCATTCTCCTTTTTGTAGAGTCCTAGTTTATTCATTATTCCCTTGTGTGGCATCTGTTCTGTACCATTGATTATCCTAATTGCTCTTTTGTACAGCCTTTTTGAAATAGGAACACCAGACCTACAGAATTCAAGATGTAAACGTTCTGGTTCATACACTGATGTAGTGATAATTTCTGTTTTGTTCTCTGTTCCTTGCCTAATAATTAAAAATTTTGACTGCTGCGGTGTACTGAGCTGATGGTTTTTGTAGATACTGAAGTTTAAGATATCTACTGAATTGTCATTTTATTTCTAAAATATGCACGGATGGGATTATGTTTTCTCATACCATATTACATTTACCAAAAGTAATTTTAATGATGTCATCACTCAATGCTACAAGACACTTCAAGTGTGCTTTATGACGAACTCTCTTTTTACTGTGCCAGGTAACCCGGCATTGTCAGCAGATTCTGTCACCTGGCTGTTTATCCCTTTATTCTGATCCTCTGTAATTTGAGTAACAGTCTGTAAATTTAAGTCCTTGTGGGAATCTGCTGGTGAGCCTTCTCAACTGAGAAAGCTGTTTATTTCCTACCATTTTGTCTCCTATCTTTTATGTTATTATTTAGTAGGTATTTAATACTGTGAGGACTTAAACTTGGGCTCCATAGCAGCTTCATTTCTTTAACCATCTTTGATGGATCTTCTCTGATACCTCCCATATGATTAGACTACATCAAGTGGATCCTTCTGGTCTACATGCTCTTTGCCTCCTTGAGAGAAGTTGAGGCATAACTCCTGTTTGCAAAGATGTTTTTTACCCTTTACCCTGAGGGTAAAAACATGTTTTTACCCTTTCTCCCTATATTCCCCAGTGTTCTAATCCTGCTTTTTGCTAGTTTCCATTAGTAGTAGTGATGTGAGTCTTGATAGTTGGATGTCTAAATTACCTGCAGAACCTTAATGATTGACATCATATGTCCTACCTCCAGTTCTCCGGTATTGAAATGATTTTAAGGGGAGAAAAATGTTGAGATAAAACACTACTTAAAACCAGCAAACTAACCAATCCTTTTTCTCTCTTAAGGTGGAGAAACAGAGAAGACTTGAAAGAATAAAGCAAAAACAGTCTCAACTACAGGAACTCATTCTACAGGTACAGTCAAGGTACTCTTGTCTATAGGGCAAGGTAACTTATATCTGTATTCCTGTTGTTTTATCCCAGTGAGGGATGGGAAACTTCTAAGAAGACTGGAGGGGAATTTCAGAATAAGGCATATGCAGTTTAAATTTAGCAGCGTAGTTTAGCTGGGACCATGCTGTTGGCCATTGCTGTTGGGGAAGCCAGCAACCTTCCATGAGTTACAATGAATTCTTTTGCAGTTTCAAGTACATTTAAGCAGGATTTATGCTGACAGGAGCTGTAATTCATACTATACTCTCTGAATTTTACAATTCAGTTCTTGTATCTAAAATGTTTTTCTGTGTTAAGAGTCCATAGATAAAATTATGTGACTGTGAAGGTCATCTCTCGTAATGCTCTTGCCTTTCTGCATCGTTGCTGCCCCTGCTGTGTTAAGTGGTTTAACCGCTGTGAAACAGTTGCTGAACTCCTTCCCGGATTTCTCCCAGTACGCTGGGGGAAGCAGTAGTCTATCCCCCAAGTCACTGTGCTGCTGATTCACTGGAATGTATCGCTTAGTAGCTGCATTACCTACGCAGAAGGAGCGAGAATCTCAGAGAGGGTATGCAGAAAGAAAGTACAGGCAACTGTGGGACAGCCTCTGTGTTGTCTTTGGATTTTGTTTTTATTTCATTTGATTCCATGACCAGAAAAATACTTTTTCTTAGTTTGTTGGGTTACTGTAAGATTTATAACTTGAGTTTCCATAGTTAATTTGAGGTTTTAGTTCTTACAATTGCTAATCTTTAAAATATGAAGATTCCATTCTGAAAAGCAGTTTTGGTAAGATGTGAGAGTAAAGTCACTAGTCTTAGCCGAGTAATTCAGAAACGTAATGTCAAGACATTCAAATCCCAAACGTTAACTGGTGTTTAGCATACAATTTCAGAAAAAATACAATATTAATCATTCAGCTGTTCTTGTGGAGTGCAGTAGCTAGCAGGGAATAGTAAACAGAGTTGGAAGTAGGATGCTATATGAAAGTTCCTTTTCCAGTCATTGTTTTCTCTTCATTCTGTCAAGGATCTGTCCAAGGAGCTGTCCTGATATAGTTACTAGAATGTGTAGTTTTTTTCTTAGTCATTAAGTTGTACTGTGCTGTTTTATTCAATACTGTCATTTGTGTCTCTTCTTGCATCTTAACATGCAGGAATATGGTGAACACTCTGTCCTTTCTGCATTTACTTGCTGCAACTGTTGCTGGTCTTCCTTATCGGAGGGATTTTTTTTGTTAACGGAATCTTAAAGGTTTAATTCATACTTTCATATCACTATCACTCTTTCTAGCAAATTGCCTTCAAAAACCTCGTTCAGCGAAACCGTCAAGCAGAACAACAGGCAAATCGACCGCCACCTTCCAATTCTGTCATCCATTTGCCATTTATCATTGTGAACACCAGCAAGAAGACAGTGATTGACTGCAGTATTTCAAATGACAAGTGAGTTAAAGTTTTCTATCTGGCTTCTGGAACAGCTGTGAGTTTTATGTTCGTGCTAAAGTGTTCACCTAGATTTGTTAAAAATGAAATAGAAATAAATTTACTTGTGCCTTTTGTAGATTGAGAACATGCATTTCAGACAGGTAAAACTTAGTCATGTTAAATAGTTTTATAGAGCTTTTTAATAAATAGAACAATTGCATTCACATTTAATAACTTATTTGTGACTTATTATCTAGAGATGTTAGAAGCAAAGTAAGGCAGCTCTGCTGAAGTTTCATAGCTTACTTTACCAAGTTGTGTTTTCCTTTGGCTTTAACATGATTAAATACAGCCAGCAGAATTGAAAATGGATTTTGCTTTCAGAACTGCTGTTCCCTACTTTTGGTTCAAAAAACTAGGTTTTTCATCTGCTAAATAGAAGCTGAATGTAGCAGTGGTTTCTCCTTGCACTGTTAGCTTACAAGAAAAGCCTAAAAACATGAAAAAAAATTTTACACAGTAGGCAGAGGAATGGGAGTAAGGATGCAAAATGTTTAATTAAAACTCTGTATCTGTTAATGATTTATATAGTGTGTATAATTAGTTTTAGTTGCTTGCTATCAAATACATAAATCTTATTTTATTGCTCAATGTGATGCGACACTAGCACTACGTATTGAGCTTTTGAAATGCTGCAATTCCTGAAACTGGAAAAGTAGTTAAAGTAATTGAAGCTAATTGGGGCATTTTTTTCCTCTCCAGGTTTGAATATCTATTTAATTTTGACAACACTTTTGAAATTCATGATGATATAGAAGTGCTAAAACGAATGGGAATGGCTTGTGGGCTAGAATCTGGAAGCTGTTCAGCAGAGGACCTAAAACTTGCAAGGAGTTTGGTTCCTAAAGCTCTGGAACCATATGTGACAGGTTAGTGAATCCAAGAAGAGTTGTTTTGTTTTCCTCCTTAATACAGGACTCAAGGGAAAAACATGAAAATATCTAACATCAGTTAATTTCCACTGGTTTGTGGTGAAGATTTCTACCAAGTTCTCAAAATATATACGCTTTTTAGTGTACCTTAGGGAACGAATAATGTAGAGATTCATAGAGAATAGGCTATTGCTCTTTGCGGAACCGTGTTTTCCGTTATACCACACAAGAAGATCTTTGCAGCGTTTAATTCTTCTAAGAGGACAGTATTTATAGTTGATGCACCTGCAAAGGCAAAAGGTAGTAAGCACAAATATGATCCTGGCTGCATTTTATATTGTTTTATCATTTTCATTATATAATAATACTGAAGACTAGCTCACTTCAAATAATTTTTTTTAATGTATTTTGAAATTTTGCTGTTGCACTAGCTTCTTGTTTTTTAATTATGCTATTTTGGATATAGTACATCAGTATGTTTTGTTGTTTTGTTTGCAAGACTCATTTTCTGGACTTGAAAGGGATTAAGCATTTCCACTGAATTAGATGAGTGTGTTTTGAAGTATTCTTGACATACTTATTGTTCGTTTTACAGAAATGGCTCAGGGATCAATCAGCAGTGTATATGTCACATCTTCATCAGGTTCTGCATCAAATGGCACAAGATTTTCAGCCAGGTGAGGTGAAATTATCAATTTTTTTAAAAAAATCTATGATCATCAAAGAAACTTAATTAGAGATTAAATACTGCATGAAACAAATTGTTTCGATTAAATGTGGTGTGGGTGTGTGTTGAAGTTTATTCTCAGACATCGCTTTTACTTGAGTAGTGGTGGTTCTTAACCAGTGTCATTAAAAAGAAGTCTTTTCCTGTATAGTGGAAGAGAAATTGATGAGACTGGTGTTAATCTTGAATGTGTTATTTTTGTTTAGTTTTGAGTTTGTGACAAGAAAACAGATACTTCCCTAAAGATACATTACATCATGGGCAAGATTCTCCCTCAGTCATTAGCATCTAACTTAAAAAAAGGTTTTGGTCTTTGGTTTTAAACAGCCTCAGAAGCTGGTAGAGTGATAAGCTGTAACTTGCATCTGTCTTTGTAGGGACGTATCTAATTTCTGAACTTTATTATTTTTCCCTTGCTATATAAGACACACTTCCTTATGTAGTCACTGCTCGCTGGTTTCTTGCTGTTGCACTAATCAAAAAGATGTCCTTCTGTGAGCTCTACTAAGTTGTAAAATGAGTAAATATCATTGAAATGTTTAATGTTGTTAACAAATATTTGACTTGAGCAAGCTGATTAGCTGAACAAATTATCTGCAAAAGTCTTCATTTTCTATCAGTTGTTTCTGTTGTGTCCAGAAACTCAGCCTTATCTGAAAAGTTAGTTAAATTTCTCTTGTACATGTAACGCAACTAATCCAGTCTGGGCAATATTAGAATTGCAGAATGGTTTGAGTTGGAAGAGGTCTTCTAAGATCATCCACTTCCAACCCCCCTGCCATGGGCAGGGACACCTCCCACCAGACCAGGTTGCTCCAAGCCCCATCCAACCTGGCCTTGAACACTTCCAGGGATGGGGCAGCCACAGCTTCTCTGGGAAACCTGTTCCTGGGTCTCACCAGCCTTATCATAAAAAATTTCTTCCCTATATCCAATCTAAACTTACCCTCTTTCTCTTTCTGTTTAAAATCGTTTCCCCTTGTCTGTCACTGCAGGCCCTGGTAAAACATCTTTCTCTGTATTTCTTACAAGCTTCCTTTAAGTAGTGGAAGGCTTCTATAAGGTCTTCCTGGAGCCTTCTCTTCTCTGGGCTGAACAACCCCAACTTCTCAGCCTTTCTTCATAGGAGAGGTGCTCCAGCTCTCTGACAATTTTCATGGCCCTCTTTTGGATCTCCTTTGTCAAGTCGATGTCTGTCTTGTGCTGAGGACCCCAGAGCTGAAGGCAGTACTGCAGGGGGGTCTCACCAGAGCAGAGGGGCAGAATCCCCTCCCTCAACCTGCTGGCCACCCTGCTTCGGATACAACCCAGGACACAGTTGGGTTTCTGGGCTGCCAGTGCACGTTGCCGGGCTGTGTCCAGTTTTTCATCCACCAGTATTCCCATGTCCTTCTCCACAGGGCTGCTCTCAGTCCATTCATCCCCCAGTTGGTACTGATACTGGTGACTGCCCCGACCCAGGTGCATGACCTTACACTTGACCATGTTGAACCTCATGAGGTTTGCATGAGCCCACTCCTCAAGCCTGTCCCGGTCCCCCTGGATGACATCCCTTCCTTCCAGCGTATCAACCGCACTACTCGGCTTCATGTCATCCACAGCCTTACTGAGAGTGCACTCAATCCCACTGTTTGTCGTTAATGAGGATACTAAATAGTATTGGTCTCAGTGTGGATCCTTGAGGGATACCACTTGTTACTGCTTTCCATTTGGACATTGGGCTGTTGACTGTAACTCTTTGGTCATGGCCATCCAGCCAATTTCTTATCTGTCAAACTTAACTTTCTCCAATTTAGAGGTAAGAATGTTGTGGGGGACAGTATCAAAGGCCTTCCAGAAGCCCAAGTAGATGTCTTCTGTAGATTTTCCCTTGTTCATTGATGCATTTGCTCCATCGTAGAAGGCCACTCGATTAGTCAGGCACAATTTGCCTTTGATGAAGCTATGTTGGCTGTCCTTAATTGCCTCCCGGTCTTTCATATGCTTCAGCATAACTTCCAGGAGGATCTCTTCCATGATTTTAGCAGGCAATGATGTGCGTCTGGAGAGGAGAGGGCAAGTTCTAGTTTACATTGGCTTGTTCTCCAACAATGACTGTTCTATGTCGAAATCACTGGCAGGCTCTGCTTTTTAAATTATTTGGGAAATTGCTATACCATGGAAATTCTTAAGGAAGTCCTAACTTTTAGGACATTTAAGCCATTTGTGTTTAAAGGCAAAAATCCTGTATTGATGGGATTTCTTTAGACCAGGAAATTCAGCTTTATTCTAGTTTTCTGAAGACAATCATCTGGCAGCTTTTTCTCACCCGTCTGCCTTCTGTCAGAGTTGGAAGGAGGTCCTTCTAAAGATACAGTATCTAGCTTACTTTAAAAGGCTAATGGAATTACATTTTTAAAGCATTTATTTGGAAAAAAAAAAGCAAACAACCTTTTTGTAGATGATAGGCTTACTTAAATGCAAAGGAAAAAAAAAAAACAAAGAAAGATCTAACTTGCAAGGGAAACAGTTAAGCTCAGGGACATGCGGGACTAACAATGGTGAGGAGTGTGGTTTGTGGTCCACCCCATTGCTGCTGCCCAGAAAAGCGTGGGGAAGTCTGCCTGTTTTGTGCTGGGGAACTGAAACTTGAGTGAGAATACTGCCAAAATACCTTTAGAGTAGCAGAACTTAGGCGGTACATAAAATCTCCTGTTTTCACTAAGGTTCCTTCTGTGATAATGAGCGTGGTGTTTGTGAAAAAGAGCCCATGTATTTTTAAAACTTTGAAATTTGCATAGGCCACTACTAGCCAGAGGCCAGTACAAAACCAGAGGCTGACTGGGATTCATTGTCTTAGTGAGAAGCTCCAGATCACCTATCACTTCTGTTTCTTAGGAGGTTGGGAAAGGGGAATGACAAATTATGTGTAATTATAATACATATGGAAATGTTCATGGCACTAGGAAACGACAAGGTGTGTAGCTTTTCTGGTACCAAAAATTGCTGCTGAGGCAAATAAAGGCTGTAAATTTATTTAGCAGGCTCTCTAAAGAAAGTCTGTAGAAGACTGAAGATGCTGCTATCAATGCCTTCATCTCAGTTTCTTTGACTTACTAGGGTACTCGGGTTAGGAAAGCCAGTTCCTTTTTTTTTTTTTTTTTTTTTTTTTTCAAAAAGAGGAGAGAAAGGTTTTTGGGGTTGTACTTTCAAAATTCACAGGAACACAAGAATAATCTCTGGATTTGTTTTTTTTTTTCCTTTATTTTTGAAATAGCTTCTGCAGGGAATTATGGAGAACCTGTTATAAGTCATCTGAGTACAGCTAGACACGTATCTTGATATCTTCCTTCTGAATAAATACACAGAACAGCAGAAAGTGTCTTACTGGATATGTTTTCCTTGAGAGCTTCTAGGGTGTGCCTCTGCAATTTCATTCTCTGTGATGGTAGACCATTGAATTAGCTCCATACAACTACAGTGTGCATGATTGATGTGCATTAGCTGGATTAAAAAATGACTAGCAAACATATTTTGGAAAGCAATTTTTTAGTGATGAATGTCTTTCAAATTGGAGATACTATTTCCATCATTTTTAGAAAAACATTTTGTCAAGAATTTGTGACCAAGTTTAATAGTTTATCAAACTATTGAGAAAGTAAAGAAAAAAGGTTGGCAAAATAGCAAGTAATTATGGAGGCAGGAATGTTATGGCTCTATTAAAATCAGATACTTCTGGATACAGTTAATTCATCTAGGAACAAGACACTTCAGACCACATCTACAATGTGCATGTGTATTTTGATGGAAAAAGAACACATTCAAATAAGAAAGTGGATACTCTCTAAATCTACTTGCTGATCCAGGAGGTACATTTTCAGTGTAGGGGCACTCTCACAGAGGGGAAAAATACGAGATGCCACAGAGGTTGTTCGGGTTTTGTTTTGGGTTGTTGGTTGGTTTGTGGGTTTTTTGTTTGTTTTCTTTTTTTTAACTAGAAAAGAAAAGCATAATGAGAAGAAAACCATTCCAAGTTGAAAATACAGCACATGTAGCAATGATAGTCATGTATTAACAAGGAATTAAGGAAAAGCTATTAATTCCTCTATTTTCCACGTCTTTGAATCAAGATTAGTGCTTCTGAAAGACGTGATTAATTTGTGATGCAAGTGTCCAATGCTACCTAAAATATTAAAGGACTTAGATAGCTGTGTGACCTTAACACTAAATGTACTGTAGAAGAAACCTGGAAAACATACTTCTAGGATGCCCGTGAAAGGATTTAATCTTTATGTTAAACCTAAAGGAAGAAACATCATAAGAACCATTTCAAAACTACTTCAGCTGTTTCTGCTTTTGAGAAACAACTTAGACATCTGTTGAAGACAGTTTATAAAGTAGCAGTGGCAGATTCGTTAAAGGAATGGAATAGATACATGATTATATTTCAGAGCACAGTAAACTGGGAAAAATCATTAAGCACTGCTGACTGGCCTCTTTCACTTTTTCAGTGACTTTTCCAATGGTGGAGATGGGATGTTGGCTACAAGTTCCAATGGATCTCAGTACAGTGGCTCCAGAGTTGAAACACCAGTTTCTTATGTTGGGGATGATGATGACGACGACGACGATTTTAATGAAAATGATGATGACGACTGATGCCCTTTGCTTGTAGACTATTTTTTGTTAAAATTCAGCAAGCTTCAGGAATAAATTGTTCTAGGGAGAAGTGTCTCAAATTACTTTGCCCCATCCCTCAAGGAGAATATTGGTAAGCAGTTCTGAGTTTAGAAATTGCACCTCTGATAAGCAAACAAGGATTGTTTTATGTAGGATATTTTTAAATGTGGTGTGGATGTGTGTTTTTGATACCAGTGTGTTAATGCAGAGCCTTTATTTACTCTTGTTTTAGGGGTTTTTGGTTTGTTGGTTGTTTTTTGTTTGGGGTTTGGCTTTTTTTTTTACTTGAAGGAAAATGGATTTTGCCCCAAATGTTCTTGCGAAGTTTGCTAAAGAAAATGTAGACACATCATTGAGAAATAAAATGCTATCCTTCTGTGGAAAATTAATACACTGAATGGCAATTTATTTGGAGGGTATTTTGATTATGCCACTTTTTGAGGGATAGTAAGCTAATGTAGTAGTGTTTTTTGTTAATCACGCAGTGTCCAAAGATCCAAACAAGAAAGATACGTCCTACTTTTTTATCATGTTAAATTCCAGAAATGTTGTTGTGAACTTATTTTTCCCTTAAATTATATCTAACGTAATGATTCCATCAAGTTTATATACTTTTCACTGTATGTTGGGACATATGAATTACAAAGTTCTTGGCAAATGTTTACTGCCAGTTGGTGCAGCTATATAAAATGTCTTGAAGGTTTGGAATGATTTATTGCTTATGGTAAAATTTGCCTGATTTCTTACAGGCAGACTTTGGAAACTTTTTATTATATAGTTGTTTACATACTTATAAGTCTATCATATAAAGACATGTACTGAAACAAATGTTTGTATTTGTTTCATAAGCATCTTCCTGTAATCTATTATAAAGTTGAAATTAAATATAGAGAATGTTTTAAGTTTTTTAACTCAAAATTTGTCAATCATTTTTAATAGTTCATTTTTATAAAAGGAATTTCAGGGCAGGTGGTAGTCTTTTTAAATTTATTCACAAACAATTAACTGCACAAATACTGTCAGCTGCCTATTCTAAGACAGTAGTCTTTTTATTGAAACACAAATAAACTTTCCTGTAATATTTTATGGAATATAAAGAGACTATAATTGTTTGACTTGTTTAACCTTGGCACTGTTAGTTTTTATTAATAAAACGCGCATGGGCATTTTTAACAAGCTCTGTGGTTTTTCTAATTTTAGGGTTATTTTAGAACACTTCATTTCCTCTCGTCACAAGACCTAGAATTAACTGTCTCAGGGTACTGCATCTACACTACAGAGGGCCCAGGTTTTTTGCTTTGATATAGTAATTTGTCCTTACAGCTCTTGGTAGCTTATGATGCAAAAAAGCAATATCTTGCCCTGTATACTCTCTTCTTTCAGGTCTCCTTACTTCAATCGTGTGGCTCCTCAGGGTGTCAGGCCAATCTTACTACTCCAATCCAGCTTCTCTGTTTAAAATCCCAGGCTTACTCTCCTAACTTTTCATCCTGTGTTCCTCAGGCCTGGCTTTCCATCATACATTCCCGTGTTGTCAAAACAGTTCTCCATCTACTTGCCATATACTTCCACCTTAATTGTTGTTAGATTGCATCCCCCACTCTCCCCTGAAAGTGCAGGTTACTGAACTGGCTGCTATCAGAGTTAGGATTTGTTGCTTCTGCAAACTCCAGGGAGTTGCTGCAAAGACAATTTCCAGTCTAATAACTGCCCTGTCTGTGGTAAGGGGTCCCGGATGGTAAATATGAGGTGTGTTACGTCGTTTTTACTTCTCTGAGGGATTATGCCTTAAATCTTCTGTGGTAAGGGGATGTGGGTGCTTACTACAGAGCAGTTGATATGCAGTGAACATTTTCTAATTGTATCAAACCTTGTTGTAATATGAGGGAACCAAGCAAATTACCTTATGGGCCTGAGAAAACCATTTGAGGGGGCTAACTGAATGCTTTGCATTTCAGTGAAGATGTCATTCTTTGCAGTGCTAATGCTAGGAGCAAGGTTCTTGCCATGGTCAAATCAGCTAATTCAAATTACCTTTGCTGTTGAATGGCACTTTTATCTGCAGAGTACAACAATAGTTAGCGAGGAACTTTCAACAGTCCAAGGGGATTTTTTTTCCTGTTTTCCCTTACGTTCTAAATCTCCAGTATATGATCCAAGATTTACCTGCAGAGGGTGAGTACAGGGATGTTAGATAAGGAAGGCTGAAAGCATCTGACAGTTTCCTTTTGGTTCTTATCAGTGGAATAGACCTCAGATGAGACAAGGGCAAGGTGGGAGTGAAAGTGTTGCAAAACATACATCTCAAAAGATGTTACTTTGCTTGCTTTTGGTTGCTGATGAATCTCTGAAATGGAATGTGAGAGTTGGAACAAGCAGCATTGGAGAGGTTGGGGGAATGATCTGTATTGTATTTATGGTTGGACTCAGTGATCTTAAAGGTCTTTTCCAACCTGAATGATGCTGTGATTTTTGTGTTACCTTTGTTGTCAGGAGAGCTTTTTAGTAAAGGCAACAATGGATAACAAGAGAATGTCTATTGACTTTTTAATTACTTGCTAGATTTTAGGCAGTTACCTGCTCTCATAGTGTCTTGGTGAAGGGGGGCAGGGGAGGAGGGCGGAGAGAAAAGAGACCAGTGGTGAGGGAGAAGGTGGAAATGAAGAAAGGAGACTTGAAGAAGTAGGAGGAGGGAACCAGAAGAGAAAGAATAGATTGAAACTTAGGGTCTTTATAGAGGGGCATAAAAAGAGAAGAAAGTGTAACTTGGGAAGAAGTAATGAGAAAACAAGAGAAGACTGATCAAAGACTACAAAAAAGACTAATAGTAGAAACTTTATTAAAAAAAAGGCGGAGAAATGCATAGAACAGATGTAATAATGTCAGGCATGGCATGAAAGGAACTGGAAAGTGGGAGATAACTTTAAACTATATGATTCAGGTCTCTGAGAAGGGTGGTACCACGCATATAGAAGAGGAAAGATTTAGATGAGGTCAGGAAGAAATTCTTCCCGGTGAGGGTGGTGAGGCAGTGGCAGAGGTTGCCCAGAGAAGCTGTGGCTGCCCCATCCCTGGAAGTGTTCAAGGCCAGGTTGGATGGGGCTGTGAGCAACCTGGTCTGGTGGGAGGTGTTCCTGCCCATGGCAGGGGGTTGGAACTGGGTGGGCTGTAAGATCCCTGCCAACACAAATCATTCTATTGATTCTGTGATACAGATGGAAAAGGAAGATCAAAAGCAGGAACAGAATTTAGGGGAAATTGAGGATAGGACATTGTTGAAGAAATCTATGGAAGATTAAATACTGTAAGGAGATAGAAACTAGAATTCAGTTTAAGAAAGATTAAATGATGGTAATGAAAATGTTAATAAGGGCTCAGTTTGGGGACAAACACCACAGGGGAGGGTTGTACTGTTAGTCCTTTAATTTGTCAGCACTTTTTTGTGATCTGAAGAAGAGGACAAGTTGCGAAGTGCATGTTTATATCTCTGAAGTGGTTCTGCAGATAAATCCTGGGAACAGTGTGCGTCTTTCACTGTTGGTTTTTTTTTTTTCTAAAGTGATACTGAGCTTTGAAAGACTATCTTTCTATTTTGACATGTATAACAACTTAAGAAGGATTTCTTGAATTGTTTGTTCCAAAAGTAAACTGTTTTGCTTTTCCTGTAGGAATTTGCTTGTCTTAACTAAAGAAAAGCAGTTATTACTTTGAAAATTTTTTTTATAGTCTTCCTTCAATGAAAGGCAACTATTGTAGAGAAGAAAAAATTAATGGGGCTGATAGGGCCCCAGCCCTTGAGATGACCATTTATTACATTGCTCATGGAAGAAGGTAACCGTCACAAGATAAGTATCTTCATTTCTTTATCAGTGACCACACGGATTGTGAAATCTTCATGTTATTGGGAAATCTGAAAATTGGATGCTGCAAAAGGGAAAAAAAAAAAGCTGCATTGGTGTAATACTACTGGAATGATCATCAGTAGAAAGGGGAGTATATACACTGGTTTTCCCAGATAATTCATTGTTTCCTGTAGGGATTTCCTTTCTCTAGGCTACTTACGACAATAGTAAACTATTTATCTTCACTATTACATTGAGATAACAACTTTCAGCCCTTCTCAGATCTCACTGCTTCCAGAAAGATGCAAATATTATCGCACATGCTTTATTGTTAAAGCTTTGCTTTACCTGAATTGACACTCATTTATCAGGAAAAGCAAAGAGAAGCAAAGAAAAAAATGAGAGCAGCAACTTTTAATGTGGTTATTTTCTAAATTTGGGATTTAAGATTTTTCCAAGGTTTTTCTGGTCTCCGGTTCCTCCTTGAGCTTCCATGGATTCTGGGTTACCGAGATGCTCAGGGGGCTGGAGCAGGAGAGGCTGAGGGAGAGGGGCTTGTTCAACCTGAAGAGGTGGCCTCAAGAGACCTCATGGCAGCCTTCCAGCGCTGCGAGAAGGTCGTTGCAAAGATGAAGTCAGTCCACAGCAGTGCAGGGTGGGAGGACGAGAGACAGCACGCGCAAGCATTTCCAACCGGGTTTAAGGAAGAACTTAGGATGGTTGGGTTGTGGAACAGGTTGCCCAGAGAGGTGGTGCTGGCTCCATCCTTAGACCAGACAGGATAAAAGCCCTGAGCAATGTGGAGTCTGACCTCATGGCTGACCATGCTTTTAGCAGGGATTGGACTAGAGACAACCTGAGGTGTCTTCCAGCCTGAATTACCATATGAATCTCCTAAGAGAGGAGAAAAGAAAATAAAAACCATGTTAGAAAATACCGTGTGTCAGTATCATGAACAGACTAACAAGTGGGTCATCTGGCTTGCCTGCGTACCAAAGGCTCCAGCAGAAAAAGAATGGAAGCTCAGTTCATCTTCAGAAGCTGTCAGAAGTTACCAAACTCCTGTGATGGAAAAGGTAGTTAGATGAGCCAGGCGAAAGTGAAGCCTGTCTTCCTTTAAGATGAGATTTCTAAGGAGCAGGAATACAGCTGATGCTGAGGGCAGAATGAAGAAGGGCAACAACCGGCGTGCATGGGCGTTCCTACTTCCAACATTTGGTTACACTGGTAGTTCTCATCTGACAGGACGGTGGTTGTCACCTCGCTGCGTCTGCCTCTCTGGGGACAGCAGGTCTCCAACTGAGTGAGACACATTCAAAGCATGCTGACACTAACAAGTGAAGCATTAATCAGAGCAAATTGTGATTATTGATATACAACTTTGCTGTGATAATGGCAGAACATCCTGATGTGGCAGAGAATAAAGAAGAGAGACTGGTGTTAATCGAAAATCGCCCATGTAATATCTTTACAAGTGCTTTTCTTTGTTCTACTGTGACCTCTTTTGTTAAAGTTTTGGCTGTTTTGAACAGGTTGAAATCCAAACATGTCACTGTGTACGCATCGTGGTACATCGCTGTAAGTAGCGCAGGGATAACCAGCCCTAACCTATCAGGAGGGCAGGTCAGAGCAGAATGGAAAGTTTCTGCATTGTAGCACGTTCAGAGACAGCAGAGTTGCAGACTTTGGGCCAGGTTCATGTTCTTTTATCATGTAAACTTGAGAGAATTCATTAAAAATAAAGCAGAGCATTAAGCAAATACTTGAAGCTTAACTCTGAAAACAGTCGACCCAGGTAATTGATGCTAGGTAGAGTGGATCTTTACATTTCTGATGCTGATTTTTAAGGAACCTTGAAATAGGAAGTCCTTACAGACTAAAATACTGCTAGAGTGCCAGTTTTCGAAGTGTTTTGACAAAAGTCCTGTCCAATTGTGATCTAGACAGCCTGAGATCAGCCCTGAACCTCACATTAGAAAAACTGCTGAAGGAAACAGCTAAAAAAAAAAATAAATTAAAACCTGGAAAGTTAATTATTATGACAAAGTACAGAATAAGACTTATCAAATGAATATGAGAGGAGAGTGCAACTTTTTAGTCGATTAAGAAAACGACAGATGTGTTTCGCCATGTTTAAGCCTTTTCTGTTTCATTGCATTCTGATTTTAAATACGTATTTTACAGTATCAACAGATTCTATGTTAAAAGGTTATGAACTGTTTACTGCTGAATAAAAATAGGTTTTGTGGCATTGTCACCATCTGAATGACTGCATCAAGTAAGATTGTACTTCTGCTTAATGTTTTCTTCAATAACCCAGAAGAAAATGTA